ATAATAGAATCAACATTGAAGTTCCCCTAAATGATAACAAGAATATGACCTGCAAAATTCTAGGGATTACAATACGTGAGGGCACTAACTAGATCCTCTCCATCCCTACCCCCTCATGTAAGTTGTGTGGTAAGAAAGTTTCTTCAGTTCTATGCAAAGAGCTGGGTCTAAAATCGAGGATGAGCCAAGTATAGGAGCACAATTAAAATCATATAAAACAGGTTCAGCTGTTAGGTTCAAGGGTTTGCCAAAATTTAAGCCGTGGCACATTTGCTAGGTTTGACTGATATTAGTGAAGTAGAGCAACCAGAGACAACAGTGGACTGGAACCTCAAGATTTCTTTACAAATCTAAGAAGGGGGGCCTCTAGCTCCACTTGGTGGAAGAAAACAATGAAAGTACTAGCATTATTACAAAAGGAAGCACATGAAGAAAAAAAGTGTTTAGAAACCATACCTCCTGTTTAAAGTTAAAAAGAGGGGGAAAAGGGCGACCATTTGAGAGGCGGGCATTGGGTTTCCGAAGCTCGTCAAAGAAAGGATGCGCACATGCTTCTAGCTGCAGATAGAAACACCAATTTTATAAATTTTGTAACACATGGATAAGCATCAAAAATAAATTTGTGCAGAAGATTGATACTGTTAACATTTCTATTTGGACTGTAAATTGGATTTCTTCTGGGAATGGAAGTTCTTTGGTATGAACATGAAACATCTTTGTCGAGTGGGAGGTCAAATATAAAGTCTTCATCAGTTGAAGTTAGAACTTTAGAAGAGATATACAAGACTAGACATACCGCAGTGCAGCGAAGACTTGGTGAGTACTGAAGCAACCGTGAAGCAAGATCAATGGCTTCAGGAGGCATCTGCTTATGGAAAACCTGAACCAAAAAATTCAGTCATTCACTTGTGCATTGAAATTTTATGGTACCTCTAAGAAAATAGCATGTGGCAAGTGCAGGCATACCTTGTGCCATGGATGCGCTTTAATTTGGGGAAACCTGAAATCATTATAACTTGGATTCATACATCGAATTTCTTCTCGAGTTGGTGTACCAAGAACCTACAGAGAAAGTCTTCCAATTAGTATACACGAAGAGATCATTACAGGTATAGCAATCTGATCCATAGAATCATAGAATTAGAAAGGATGGCACACCTTAATAATCTCTACAAGCTGACCAACTGCATTTTCTCCAGGAAACAGTGGCTGTAAAAAATAAAGAAAAGGAAATTATTGAAAGTAAGAAAACGTGATAGAATAAAATACCACTCGGCGAAATGAAAGAACAATATAGAGGTTACAGACCTGCCCCAAAAGCAACTCAGCTAAGACACAACCGGCAGACCAAATATCAATTGCTGTCGTATATTCTGTTGCACCAAAGATGAGTTCTGGGGCTCGATAGTATCGAGAGCAAATGTAGGATATATTAGCTTCACCAGGCACCTGATTAAAAAAAATCAGGCGACATACAGTGTATCAAAAGGCTAACTGAAACAGGAGTGTTGTGATCCACATGAAGAGATGTTAATAAACAAAATGGCATTTCAAAAATACAGGACCCTAATTAGGAAAAATTATGGGCATTAATTAAGCCAAATGACTACCATCAAGATAAAATTTAAGGCTATAAACTTGTTTTGGCAGCAAATGAAAACAGCAAAACAGCCCTGTAGTCCCATGGAAATCAATTTGAACCTATTGCACTAGAGTGCACCGCTATTATTGAACCTCACCGTTAAAAGCCATGGCACATCTTTCGTGGGGGAAGCACTGAATCAGTCAGCATAAGTCACATGGATACGTTAATTTCCATAAAACAGTTTATTTTCACTTATTGTTTCTCTCCTTCACCAAACTTTATCTGTCTTCAACGGTGCTAGGATTTTAAGTTCTTTTCCCTGAAAGCTCTATGCAACCTAACAACATAGAAATGAGTGCTTAGAGTTTTTCTCGGCTAGATTTTTTGGTAAGTTCTCAATTCACCTGGTAGTGCACGCCAGTATAAGAAAATAATACAATTGGTATCTGACAGAAGGAAGGGAGAAAGAGAGAAAGAAAGAGTAAAGACGTGATCGATATATGAATACACAGACACACATGTATGTCAAATATACTCAATAAAAGACTCGATACCCCTCTTTGTGAGAGGTTCTCTCATTAAATAGGATTAAAATAATCAATTACAATATTAATTAATGGAAAAAACAATCTATCTATATCTAATACAATTATAATAATATAATCGTAATCTTCGACGATTTTCGGAATCTTATTCAAGTTCCTTGACATCCCCCTCAAATTGATACTGGTAAAAGCATCAATTTGGAATCATGAACTGACGACGGTGACAACATTTGTGCCCACTAAGAAGAAATCCAAATGGAAGCAACCAATTACGAAAATTAGTGACGACGAGAGACCAAGAACAACAAATAATGCAAAAATAACAAAGAACTACTCCAAAATCACTCCAAGAACACTCCAAAGATATTACGAGATACTACAAGAAACTACGAGAATATAAGAGAAACTACGAGAACTCACACTCCCCAAGAAGAATTTTTAAAAGAAATTCACGAAGTGTGCCGACAGACACAGTGAACTCTATCTGTCTGGAGAACTTGGTCGAACACATAATTCGTGTTCCAGCAAAAGCTCTAACGCCAAACACCAGCCACAACTCCAGATGCTGCAGGTGGAAGAAATATCACAAAACAGCCTACACCAAAAAACAAAGATGATCCTCCTATGAGAATCCAAAACTTGAGCTCATCACCTGAGCAACCAAAACGCGATGATCTGCACTTCCATGTATCTCTCTCCTCCTCAACCAAAAATTGGTCCCTTTTTTTTTAAAATCCAGTATTGTGCTAACATCAGCCCAAAACTCCAATTCCAAAATCAAAATTGAAAACTATACTAACACAACTAACAATTCAAATCTCCTGGCCCACTTGACTACCCATCAAATACAAATCTGGCCCAACTATCCGAAACCACTAAACAGGCCCAATAATAAGTCTTAACACACTAAAAAACCCAGCCCAACCAGCAATATAAATGTTTTAATAGCAGCCCAAGTTTGGCCCAATTAGGAGATAACAGAAAGGCCCAAAAATATTTTCTTTAAATAGATGCTACCCAGCCCACAATTTCAACAACAAAAGAACCCTGCAACCCACGATCTTTTAACCTTTTGTGCACAATTTCAGCAGCCAAGAAGTCGGAATCTACCACCGTCGACGATTCTTTAATAAGACAACAATCAGAAAACAGAATCTACTAGGTAGGATACTAGGGTTTGAGGTGGACTATTGGCGAGGAATGGAGGGGAGGGGTGTTTGTTCCAGGACAGGGAGAAAGAGACGGCAATAATAGGATGTTGTAGGCGTTGGAATTAAAAGGAACATGAATAGAAAAAAAAACAATTGATGACGGGAGGAGCTTTTTGCTCCTCCTGCCTTAAGAAAACCTAACCAAGAAAACAAGAGAAAATTTTAAGGAAAAGACTCTGATATCATGTCAAATATACTCAATAAAAGACTCGATGCCCCTTTTTTGTGAGAGGTTCTCTTAGGACTAAAATAATCAATTACGATATTAATTAATGGTAAAAACAATCTATCTATATCTAATACAATTATAATAATATAATCGTAATCTTCGACGATCTTCGGAATCTTATTCAAGCTCCTTGACAATGTAACTATGGTAGAAGCATTTAAATATGCCTTGACAGAATTGATCTCAGGGAACTTTCAACTGCCAATGGACTTAGAATAACTAGGAAATTAAGAGACAGCCCAATTTTCAAGCAATAAACTTACGAGAACTTTAGCACTTCCAAAGTCACAAATCTTAACCTGGTGGGTAAGAGGATCAACCTGCAGAAAGCACATAGCATTGCTTTAGCACAATTGACCAAAAGGTCCAACTCAATCTCACAGAGTGCATGTGGAACGTTGGTTGGAAGAAGGAAGTGGAGTAAAGTTAAGTTTACTTACCAAAAGATTTTGAGGTTTTATATCCCTATGACAGACCCCTGCAACTGTATGGAGATATGCAAGCCCCCTAAATAACTGAAAAATGAGTGTAATTATCTTAGTTGAGATGAATTATTCAGAAGTTACTGAGAAAAGACAGAACATATTGTAACCTGATATGTGTAGAGTTTGACATAGACGAGTGGCGTCCTCTGATTCGAATTGCTATAATGCTCTAAGACATTGTACATATTCTCGGGGACATAATCCATAACTAAATTAAGGAAAAGCTCATCTCTGCTTGATGTAGAAAAGAAACAGTGCTTCAAAGAAATTATGTTGGGATGATCCATCAAGCGAATTAACTGCAGCTCACGATTTTTATACCGCCTATCCTGTAAAACCTTCTTTATGGCCACAGTCTCTTCAGTTTCCAAGCATTTTGCCTGGCAAAGAGTGACAACTACCGGTTAGTTCTATGAACGAAGATAAAATCATACACGTTGTAATAATGCCAGGAATGAACACCTGAAAAACTATTCCAAATGATCCTGTACCCACAACACGCTCTGCCATGAAACTAATTGTCTGCAGAAAAGCATCATAAGCAAACCTATTAGCTCTCATTAATCTCTCTACATAAATATCATGAAATTAAACAATATAGTGGAAGAGAACTCCAAATAATTGTTCCTGTATAATCATCCCAATTCTTGTAGAACTTTTGTAACACTCGATTGGAGGTCAATGAAACTGAACATATAAAGTTCAGATACCAACCCTTTTGGGCTCGCCATTTTTGCCGCCAACCATAGTAGAGATAATGTGACCAGCGGCTGGATCATTACCCTCAACTGCAGAAGCTGACATCTCCTGCAATGTGAAAAAAGCAAAAGAATCAATGCATAAATAAAAATCATTTGAACTTAACACAACATCACATAAGCACTACCATATTAATCAGAACATATTGTCAACTAATGAATAGCAAAACATAGTCGGAAATGTGAAATTCAGAAACCTGAAAAGAAAGAGAATTTAAAGAGATATGCTATGCTTAGATCACAAAAAAAGAGAAAGAAAAGACAGATAGAGCAATGCTCGCCACAAACCATAGCTGGCAAGAAATTATCATAAGCCAACAAACTTGCAAATGAAACAAGTAGTCTACTATAATTTGAAGCACAATTCACCTATGAAAAATAATTAAATTCACCTAAAGTAACTAACAATTTTAAAGAACTAACAACAATAGTCAAAAATCAATTTAGGAAAAAATCATAATAAAAAGTAGTCAAAAAGAAGTTCAGAGATCTAACTATAGTTGCAATTTAAGGTAGTCTATAAAAACGCATCCCATTAATTGGAAGCAGCAAAGAAAAAATTAAAACATCTGAAAGAAAAGCAAAAAACAGTAAAATTAAGCTTCGAAAAAGATTAAATTACTAAATAATTTCTGAAAGTTATCAAGAAACTGATGCATTACAGAAAATTCCAGAAAAGCAAGAGAGCAAAAAAAATAAATAACTACCACACAAGTCCATACTCGCTCTCTCACTCGGCCACTCCCTCGAAGATCCAGGCGAAACAAATCTTAAAGCAGGAATACCTATGAAGCGGCACTAATTTTCAGATCGAGGGAATATTCTCGGAATATACTTCTGGCATCCATGGTGCAGTAATAAGCCAAAAACTTAAGCTTTTCAGCTAGATCGAAGTGAAAAAAGAGGAACCCAGCTAGAATTTTGTCTAAAAAAACACAGAATGCAGACAGGACAGGAGGAGAAAATAGATTATACAATTATGCATATAATCTAAAATACCTTGTCTGTTTCCATGGGTGCTGCGGTGGCAAGCTTCACGGCGGCGGCGGCTGCTGCTGGAGGTAGTGGCGGAGCTTGGTCAAGAACGTTATGGTTTTGATGGTCGGGTGGTGGATTGTACTGAAGCAGCTGAGGTCCCTGTGGCAACATGGCCGTGTGGTTTTGCTCTCTCTTCCCTTTGTGTCGTTATATGTTCCTTTCTATTTTTCCCTGTGGCAACCCCTGTTTGACTAACTTTTTTTTTTATTTTTTCTTCTTTCAAAACTCAGGCCTGTTTGTTTCTGATTCTCAAATCAATTCTCATTTTCAACCACACATTCTTCAATAAAATAATATTTTTCATCACATCAATACTTTTTCTTCTTTTTCAACCACACATTTCCCATCAAATCCCTATTCAAAATCAATTTTTTCTTACTCATTTATAATCACATAATAAAGTATATTGCACATAAATCTAAAAAAATTTTCCACTTTCTAATCCCACATCTTTCAAAAAAATCACTATTTCAAAACACATTTTCTCCCAAAAAAAAAAACTCTTTTTAATATTTGTCAGACAAGGACTAATGCTCGTTTTCTGGATTTATGGTAGCATAATTTCGATCACTAACATAAGGTAAGACTCTTACGTTATGGAATTCGTCGAGTAGACGTTGAAATTAAACTTGAGTTTCACATTATTTAACAATGGAATTTAAGTTGTTTTCTAGGTTTTTTGTTATTGTTTTATGGGCGTGTTCGATATGGATTAAAATTGAAAAATTAGTCATTATTGTTGATTTTTATTAGACAAGTAGGATCCAATAACGATTATATTATCAATTTTAATTGAAGTTTAATCTTTACCAAACTGGCTCTAAATCTTTTGAAGGCTACTACAAAATTTACGATTTTCATGGAGACTCAATTTCACATGGCCTATTAACTCTCAACTTTACTTATTGAATAAAGTGTTGTGCACCAGTCTAAATTACCATACTTTATAGGTTCAATTAAATTGATTTTTTGACTTTGCATTAAAATGAACATATAAAATTTCATATCAAAAAAAAAAATGAACATATAAAATAATGACATCCAATTGTCACTTAAATTGGTGCTAAAAACCATTAAGGCTGAATATTATTACTCATTTCATAAAATATTGCTTAGTACTTTATCATAATAAAAATGTTATATTTTTTTTGTAACAAAATTTGTTGTGCACATTCCCCTGTCACCACCAATTTTAACATACTATCTTACACGTGTAACACAATGTGTTGTGCCGCAATCACCGCTAGCCACAATACCACCAATTGTAACACATTATGTTATGTAGTTGTAGTCGTAGTTATCATCGTTGTCAACACCATCATTGTTGCCCATGCACAAACCACTACCACGACTTGCACCTTCTACAAGTCCTCATCTACCAACACAACCACAACACCACCCCATTTTCCCTAAAATCTTCTAACTTGAACCTTTTTAACACCAATCTACCACCGCTACCATGTATCGACCACCAAATCACCTCATTACCATATCGTCACCATCTTTATGCTCAACCCACCACCACATCCGACAGCAATCCACCACGGATTTAAAACAAGCAAAACAAAGTCATGTTTTAACCACATATTCAAAGTTAAATATTATAGGTCGTTACAAAAATCGTATATGAAGGAAATAGATACAATCTTCGTTGATTCTCACTACTGACATTCGCAACCATAAAAATCCGATTTCTAGATCATCAACCAACCACCATGACGACCTATGAGACTACCCATGAAAAAAAACACATACAGATTCAGTCTGTGGAGAAGATCCGACAAGAATTGGTGGTTATGGTGGTCGATATCGTGCTGGTGGGAGGTTGTGTGGAGGTAAGGGTGGGGTGAGAAGTTAGTGAATCCGAAGTGGATAAACAATTCAATATTTTTTGAAAAAAAAAATCTAAAACTGGGCTAGTAATTTGTTAATAGAAAAAATTTCAAGTTTTCACATTTTTAAATTAAAAATAAGTGATTTGAAGTAGGATGTTGAACCTTTTAAGCCATCCGAAGCACCACATAAGTTGTTGAATTATGCTAGTTGTATATTCTTTGATGACATTGTATGATGTGCGAAAAATTGTACCAATGATTTAAATAAGTGTTGTTAAAATCGATGACCCAAAGTGTTGCCACGTCAAATAATGTCATCTATGATTCAAACTCAATGTACTTGTAGCAAAACCGTAAACTTTTCCGATAGGCAGTGCTTATGAATACATTGCTCCATATTTAAATAGGTTGAGGATCTACACTAATTGAAAGATTAAGAAAACCAACCCTAATTTTTCTTGATAATTTAAAGGTAGCAATGTTGTGGGAATTTGATTAAATAGGCTAAGGCCTTGTTTGATAGGGTTTATTTTCCATGGAAGTTAAAAATTATTTTCTATTGTCCAAGTTATTGCATGTTTGATTAGCCAAAAATTCCATGGAATTGGTTTTCCTTCTTAACCCCCTTGAATTGGTTTTCCCACCACTTTGGTGGAAAAATAGTTTTCTAGGCTTTTTTTCTTACATTCAAATTATATCCCAATGGTAACAAATTCTATCACTTTGCTGGACAATTTTCATGAAAAATAAAGTCAAACGAATACCAAATAATCCAAAATTTCAACATTTTTCAAATGAAAAATTATATTAATCAAACACAATTAATTAACAATTCTCGATAAAACAAGTTTTGGCAATTCAATTTCTTGAAATTCATTTTCTTTTCACCCAAATTTCATTCTTACAATCAAACGGACCCTAAATTCAACTAAGAAATTTGAGAACAAACGTTGAAAAATGATCTAGCTAAATTAGTCCATTTATGGACCTCTTTTTCTTCAAGCTCATTTTTAATTATACATTTCACAAGATCTGATAACTTTATCTACATTTCAATCACACATTTCATCAATTTTTATTAAATTTTATTAAATTTTACTAAAAAATTGATTTTTAGCAAGTTTAATTTGTTTGACTTCTGATTTTACCTTTTGACTATTTACTTTTAACATTTTTCGAATTAATGTCTAGACTGATTTTTGACAATTTCTTCAAGTAATGCTCCATTAAACATCGTGAAAATTTGGAAATTTGAATTTGAATTTTCATGAGGATTATGACTTGGAAATGTACGGAAATTGGTAAAATGAAATATAATTTTTTAGTATTATTTGCTTGGCAATATATATGTGTGTAAAAGCAATTACTTTGTATAAAATATGTTTCATTATTTTATATCAAGAATATGTTTGAGCCTCATTTTTCGATATAAATGCATTCGAAAATAGAATTTTGATGGAGAATGTGTCATTAAAAAATAAGAAAAATTTTTGAATTCACATGTAATATTATTTTATTGAAAATGTGTGGTTGAAAATAAAAGAGAGAAAATGTATTTTAGAGATAATGAGTACCAAATAAGGGCCCCCATATGATTAATAGAATCCTAATTTTATTCAAATACAAGAAACAATACTGTTACAACTTCACTGGTATTAAATAGCATTGCTCATAATAAGTAATATTCTAAAATCAATTATAAGTAAACTCAACAATTAATTATGAAAATTATGTGTGAACCACAAGTTGTATACAATTACAGACCACATAATTCTCTTTATTTCATTAGACTTGTGCAAACTTTGAAAATCAACTTCCTCTCTTCATTTCCCAACAACAAGAAAAAAAAAATATTAAGAAAGAAAAATGCGAGAAGAGGGCTAAAGGGATCAGGTTCAGTTGACAATCCTGCAATTCCTTCTAATTTCACCATTTGATCCAGTAAGCGGGCTTATATTTCCCATTTTTATCATTGCAGCTGCAAAATCACTTCTGAAAGTAGCAAGATCACTGCTATAAAGCCTAACCAATGCATCTTGTGATCCATTATTGAAAAGCACTTGATCCGAGTGCAAAAGCCCACGTTGAGTCATGAGATTGCCGTAGTAATTGTTGTCGAACCGGTTCGGAGTCTGCACATCGAGAGGCGCCAAGTTGGTGTTGCCGCCTGAGGAGGGGCACGTTCCTCTCCGATTGGCTGCGAAGGTCGGGTTGATGTTGGTTTCGTTGTAAATGCGGGTTCGGAAGGTTGAGCATTGCGCAAAGCCGAAGGTGTGGCCACCTGAGAGAACCGTCATGTCTCGTGCATTAAGGCCTTTCGCCATGAACAACGAGATGAGAGTCGAGAGGCTTGAGAATGGAGAGGGGATTTGGCTGTTTGCTGCACTTAAGCTGGCTGTTCTTGCATCTCTCCTGCCTAGTGGCACTGTCCATGTTGGTCCTCCAAGCTATAACAAATATACATTTCATTAGGGTTAATCTTAAGATTATCTATTTATTAAAATTGTAGGCTAGAAGAGTTCTAACGGCTTAAGCATTTGAAGTAGTTCAAATGTCACTATTGCCTATTTATGAAGGTTGAACGTATATCCATAAAAAATGAATTTAGGCATGGAAGTCAACGAGGTTGTTCAATACTACATACCAAGCCGACCCCATCTTTAGCGGCGAGGGCTAGAATGTCTGCACAAGATACTGTTGCATTGCAGGCAGCTTCGACTTGAGTTTTGATGGTGTCTATCACTTCAAAACCGCGTACTGAATTTCGGTTTGGATTTGCATTCTTTTCACCGGTGAATGTCGTAGTGTCGTCCAACAGTATGGATCCATCACATCCCTAAATTATATGCACAAGAGACATATACGTAAATGTATATAGTATTTTCTTTCAAGAAAACCAAGAAGAGAAACATGTTTGACATGTTTAGTAGACTCGACTCGACTAAAGAAGAGAGATATATAAGATATTTATCCATTATCTTGTCCAAACATATGTCACGGGACTTGTTACGAACACACCATATTCTCATGGAAAACTATAGTGAATGTACGGTTCCAACAAAATACGACATAAAATTAAATGACATCTTACATTCACGAAGCAATCGTGGAAGAACAAACGAAGGATCGAAGCACCAATCCTCAATTCATTATTAATAGCAGTCCTCATTGCATTTCTAACAATTGTCTGCACATTTGGGCATGTGGAAGCATAAAAAGTGGGAGAAAGCTGTGCATTTGTAAAGCCAAAAACCAGTACAAAAACAAATGGGATAATCCAAAAATTTCTAAAGGAAGCCATTAAAGATGAATAGAAGAAATCTTAAGCTAATTATATGGTGAATACATGCATGTATTGTGTGTGTTTATATAGGCATGCAATGTAGAGAAATAGTGTGTACATAACGCAAAATTCAAACTTTTCTGCTATAAAACGCGTTTAGATGAAGAATTTTTGTAAAGTGAGTTTAGCATAGAAACAAAAGATGATGAAAAAAGGCAAAAAGGAAAAATGAGAGAGAGACATGAGAGTTGACTTTATGATCTTTAGAGTCATTGCATGCATGCAAGAAAAGAACAAAAAAGATAATGATTTGTTGGATTCATATTCAAAGTAGTGCCCACCAATTTGTTCTTATTTTTTGGCTGCAGTTCCATATTTTGTGAAGGTAGAAGATAAACTCGAGGAGTTGAGTCGACTCTTTATCTACTAGTAAAATATTTTTTATACGCTAGAATTGGGCGCTTGCGCCATCGGTTTTCAAATTTATTGTTCGAACTATAATTTGCCATCTACTATTTCAAAAGAGCAAATTAGTTCCCAATGTTTCGATATAATTGCATTATCTATCCCTAACGATGAAAACTATCCTAACCTCTTACGAGGTACATATGTTTTCCAACTTGATTTTGGACAAAAGGTTTGAAATGAGACATGATGTTTTGACATTCATGTGACGATTTAATGAATTTATGAATGATTTTCATCGTTAGGACTTAAAGTCTGTCTATTTGCCATTTGCAACTTCATCTTTTAGAAAGCCTACATCCATTCTTTTGGATTTTCATTCTTCTTATTTCAAGTGGAAATTCTCTTCCATAAAGACCTCCTTCTTTTTTCTCTCGCCCATTTCACATTTTATGAAGGAAGAGGATCACTTTGATCTCTTATTTAAGAGAAATAAGTAAATTACAAGAAATTGAAAGAAATATATCCTCTTTGATTTTGAAATCCTTATATACAACATGATCATACCCCCGAACAAACAAAATATTGAATTGAATTGTACCACTCTCTACTTGGGGGTTCTTACCTTATATATGATCACGAGCTTATATTTTCAAATTTTATCTTGACTTTAATAGAAAGGAGAATAGTAAGAGATGAAAATTTTTTATCTCGTTTATAAGGGCCTTATCTCAAAATTTTCCACGACTCTATACGTCTCCAACGTGTTCACTGTAGTAAGCGTCTAATACTGCTCTACTGAAAGGATTCCTGTTTGGCTGATATGTAGTGTAGCTGGTATTTTTGGAACTATAATTAACGTTTGTAGATTGATTTGCACTTTTGTAAAGATTGGAGACCAATTTACCATTCCAAAATAGATTGGGGACCAATATTGCAATGTTCCCGTGAATTGTGTATAAACTTGTGATATACTGATATTGACTAGTTCATCCGCAGGTTACATATATAAAATTATGAAGATACTGTGACAAGCCAATTATTAAGATCATTATTCAACTCTTCCACCGTCAAACTTCTTTGAATTTTTTGCGCAGAGGATACAACTGGGTTGAAGTTGAACATTTCCATCTTTTTCAATACGAATTTCGAAAAATATGTCGAGATATTTGCCAATTTTTGCGCAGCTATATCTTCTCATTTTTTGTAAAAACATTCTTTAAAAGTGGTTTTTATTTAACTCACTGGATAGAGGTGTAAAAATTTTAACTTTGCGATACCTATATGGATTCTGATTGGACCGACATAACCATATTTTTCGACATGTGATGTGAGGCCGATGGACCCAACACTTTTTTATTATCTTTTGTTTTTTTTTTTTTACATTTTCTAGAGTTTTGAGCATAAATTTTGCGAGTAATGTTATCTGTACGTAATTGTAATTGTGTATAAAAACTTTTTTTAAAAAAATTAAAAAATTTCAACAAAAATCTTAGCTGGAAAATTGAATTTGAAAGAGACCTATTCAATAGTCAGCTCTACAGTTGCATTTTCCTTTTGTTTTCTGGAAGACGGAGACTTTCTCCTATTTTTGTATCCAGAATTTCCAAAGAAACTTGAAAAAAAAAATGATTAAAATATACTTTTAGATATAAAATATAATTTCAATTCAAACAACTATCCTCTACCAGTTCTACACTAAATTTTTGACACACCGAAATATCAACAGCAAATGGAAAACAAGAGCCAATATGCCGATAAAGATTATTAGGGAGGCAACCACATCTGCCATTAGTGGCCGGTAATCAGCCTCCGGTTATACGCGCATAGCAGCAACTTGTATAACCTCCTTCATCGAGTATTGACCCTCGAGAGCTGAGTCCATTATATCTATAACCTTTTCTCTATCCGTGAGCTGGGGTAAGGCATATCGATAGAGATCATTAAACTTATAGCGAAATAATATCATACTAGTTGATGTGGCACAGCCGCAAAAATTAACAATAAACGTACCCAGGACACGAGAACATCTTCCCCTCGAGGCATTTTCATATTGACAGGAACCCAGCCAGTAAGCAACTCCAGGAGGACGACTCCATAACTGTACACGTCTGATTTCATGGTAAAATGCCCAGTTGATGCATACCTGAAGAAACGGAGAATTCAATTTGAGTAGCGTAACGAAATTATCGTGTAAAAATACTAGTGCAAGCCAATATTACTTTTGAAAAAGAATGACAGCTTACTTAGGTGCAACATATTTCGGGTGCCCAATACTCGAGTTGAAACATGGCCACTAGCTTTCTCAGAACCAAGTTTTGACAATCCGAAGGCGGAAATTTTGGCAAGGAAATTTCTATCCAAATGGATGTTACTGCTTTCAAACTCTCTATGATTTACTGGAGTGTAAGTGTTATGCCCTAAATCCAATCCATTTAGGTTGTAAATAATTTTAATATGTTTAATGCATTTATTTTGACAAGATATATTATTTATTTGAATTACTATTATGATAAATTATATTAAATAATAGAGTTCATAGATTTAATTCTTAATAATTTGTTAATCATAAGGAGCTGTGATTGTATTATACAAATTAAAATATGACTGATTTTTAAATCATCTGTGGTCATAAGTAATAACGAGATATGGATATCGTTATTATAGATAGACTATCACGTGTGACATTTCTTACTTATGAAGTAAGTAGTTAATCACAAGCTAAAGTATGGTGACATTTAAATGAACACGTATATATTTTGTTACAGAACAAAACATTGGAGGCCCGCTGGGAAGATTCTACATGAATAACTATCTAAGTATCAGTGGTTAATCTCTAATATTTGGTAGTGGAATTGGTCATTTAACTTGAGGTTATCATAGTGTCTTATATAAGGGCAGTGGTGATGTTGGATGTTGCTCTACAAGGGGTCTCTAATACGGCATCTTTCAGATGTGTTAAGAATCATATGAAAGTTGTGAATGATCAATAAAGAATTTGTCACTCTTAAATAGATTATGATCTACATTTCATTCATTTAAGTTGATAACGAAATCATTGGCCAAAGTATACTCATAAGTCGAAAATTTTCCACTTACATTGATTTAATAGTGAGATGGAATATATGATCGATAATTGAGATTAACACTTATCCATATCTCGTAATTGATTGGATCAATTGACGAAATGATTATTGTTTCACAGTAAACAAACAAGTTTAGTTTTGTCATGCCACGTGACATTTCTCATCACATGTATTGCCCTAACACATTGCTAGATGTCAATCTGAAACGACAGATGTGAATTGGTGATAAATTAAAAATTGGTATTTTAATTTATCAATTTTGATTATATGAAAAATAATAATTCACGTTGTTAGATATCGTGGTCGGAGATCTAATGGGTCGTACACAAAAGGAGAACTGGAAGAATGAGACTATCCAATTAATTAATTAATAAGTGTTGAAAAATTAATTAATTAGGTTGCTTGTTAATATGCCCGAATTAATTAATTGGATTAATTAATTTATGGAATGAATTTAATTAATTTGATTAATTAAATATTAAACAGAGTTAAGTTTAAAAGACGCGCTTCGCGCACTTGAATTTTTATTAATAAACTGCTAGGGTTTGAAAATTCATAACACGACATTATTATTAAAAGAAAACCCTAGTTATCTTTGAGCATGTTTGGTAGGGTTTAAAATCCAATTAAAATTGAAAATACAGCCGTTATTGGGCCCCACTCGTCTAATAAAAGTAAAAAATAACGGCTAGTTTTTCAATTTTAATCCGATTTTAATCTCTACCGAACACGCCCTTTATCTTGTTCCCTGTGTGGATTTCCATTGGAGACTGAACAATTGGATAGTTGTGGATTGCAGATCAAAACAGCTCTTCAAGGAACTCATCAAATGTATAATTCTTTATCACATTTCATCTCTAAGCACAAAGAAGATCCATGATGGGAATTGAAAATTTTGTTTAAATTCCGCTGTGCATGTTAAGTAAATTCCCAACATGGAGTACTAACATGTTCGTGGAGAAACTCCAAACCTTTAGCTGCCTCCAAAGCTATTCTGAGCCAAGTGCCCCAGCCCAGATTCAACGGAATTTTATTAGAAACTGAGTTTTAATGAAAAATTTCATTTATAAGGGATCAGTCGACTGAGTTAATTCAATACAGCAGATCTGAATAATCAGAAAGAAAATGCACGCAGTTTAACGCCTTAAATGACTGATTATAGTTTTGTATGCCAGGATGGTCGAAAAAAGCAATTCAGCATCAGATATGGGGATCATTCCTCAGTGCAGACGAAAATAATTTGACAAGAAATAGAAGCATGAGAAAGTCGATGACATCCCAATGAAGAAATTCGAGATGAGAAAAAAAAAATAGAAAGTTCAATGGAAGAAGGGGCTAAAAAACCTACAATAACCTGCAAAGCATTTACTTTGGATCGTTCAAATATCGATTCAAATATTATATACACAAATAAGATTATAATTGGCGGATCAAAGTGCCATATGCAAGATTATTTGAAGTAATTGCAGCTTCAAACAAAATCCATAAACAAATAAAACACATACCACTAATGAGACACAAATGTTACTGCAGACCACCATTTGCCATGAACTCATAGACCAGCAACTTATGGTTGCTTTCTGAACAATAGCCAATCATCGAGAGCAAATATGGCGACCGCATACGACCCAATAAATCCTCCTACAATTTTTAATACACTATCAACAATCAGTGAGAAAAATATAACAGAAAACTAAGAAACATATATGCACTCATATACAAAGTTCAAGAAATATAAATTCAACAAGGGAAAAACATAGACAGAGACAGGACCTCCACTTTAAATTCTTCTTCTCCTTGTTTTCCAGCCTTATTCATCAACTTAACAGCAACCTTCCTCCCATCCTTGAGAACTCCCCGATAGACTAGCCCAAATGCACCCTGTCTAATCACATTAGACTTTCCGAAACCGCCAGTGGCCTATTGCAGCTACTTGAAGGTAAAAACTCTAAGTCCCTATCAGTTGCAACTAGAATATTTGCAAAATCTCCTTTCTCCTCGTAATCAACCACTTCCAAATGTACAGGGATATAAAAAATCACAAATCAATAATAAGAAAACAATCAACAAATCCTACATCAAAAACAAAAATTTAGTTGCCTTTGCCCATAATGAGGGATAATCAAATTAACAGGTCCGCTTTTCGAATTTATTGATCACTTTCCCCTTTCCGACACGTGTGAGGCAAGGTGTTTAAACTGGGATAAATAAGTGGTGAAGAAGTGGGTAGTACTTGTGAGTCATATGATATAAGTATACAAAAGTGGTTTAACATTTGGCAAGTGTTTATATGAAATGTATAAGATAAAAGTAGTTTGACATTTGGCAAGTGTTTATAACATATTTTCAAAATACAATTTTCTCTTTTATTTTCAACCATAAATTCTTCATGAAATAATATTATACGCAATTCTAAAACTTTTTCTTATTTTTTAACTACACATTCTCCATCAAATCACTATTCCAAAATGCATTTTTATCCAAAAAAAAAAAAAAATGGGGCTCGAACAATCTCATAGTTGCAAAGAGGAGCATAATCACGAAAATTTCTCACTTTCACATGGCATGGCAAAGGTCTATCATCCATGGCGTCCAAACCAAACCGAAAGAGAAAAAGAAAATCAAGAGATTTGCCCAAAATATTAGTATTTATGTCTTCAAATGTTCAAGAAAATGAAGAAATGAACCCAAAAGTAGCAGTCACACAACAAATAGTAGAGAAAGAAGATAACGTTTCTAAAACACCAGTTGAACAAGATGAAGCACAAGAAGATGAAATTTCTTCGGACAAAAAATTTGTTAAGAGCCAAAAGTGAAGAAAATTCAAATTATGAAAAAGAATATAAATAAAGGCTCCAATGGATTCTCTGCCTGCTACAACCGTTTTATATATTTTTTGTTTATCTTGTCAATGATCTTATTATCGAGACGTTCACAATAGAGAAATGAGGATCTTGATAACAAGACCATTAACAAGAGAAACAAGAAATCTATAAAGCCGTCAACATTTCATGTTTTTCAGTTTTTTCATAATCTGAATTTTCTTCAATTTTGGACTTATAACAGATTCTTTGTCTAATGCTGGAGGAACTTCATTTTCTTATATTTCATTTTGTTCAACTAGTGCTTTAGAAACTTAACAACATAGTGTCTGCCACTGCCACTTTTAGAGTTCATATATTCATCTTCTTCAATATGTGAAGACATTGATACAGATTTTTTTGGGCAAATATCTTGATTTTCTTCCCTTTCGATGCGATTTGAGTGCCTGGATGATAGACATATTCATGCTCTTAAACCCAGCAAAATGCATCTCAACATTTAACCATGTTACAGCAAATCCTCCATCTTCCCCAAAAGACCTACATTCAAAAACAAAAACATTCAGTGGCTTTAACCCTTAATAAGCCTAATTTACAAGCCTGAAATGCGGGAAAATCAAATTACCAGTACATTTTATTTCCTGGTACGATTTTAGTTTTCTTATACATTTTTCACCTTCTCAACCCCCCACGATTTTTTCTTTAGTCACCAAAGAAAAAGGTTGCTGAAGGTAAGGACTACAATGTAAATTTCCTACCTTTTCATTCACTTGAACCCATCAAAATGCATTTTCAACATATTAGAACAGATCCTCAATCTTCCCAAAAGAACTACATCAAACACTAACATTCAGCGGATTTAGCCCATAATAAGCCTAATTTACGAGCCTGTAATGGGGGAAAATCAAATTAACAGTAAATTCCATTACGTGGTCTAGTTTTTGACTTATTGTTCATTTCTTCCCTTTTACACACCCCACAATTTTTCTTTAGCCGCCAAACAAAATGGTAATGAAGGCAAGGACCACAATGAAAATTTCCCACCTTCTCATTCCTTTATACCCATCAAAATGCATTTTTATCATTTTTTCCATATTATAAAAAATAAAAACACCCTTTTATTCAGCATCTACATCAGATTAATCACTATAAAACCTATTGATATTATCAGAATCTAAAGATCTATATCAATAAATTAAACAGTTCATATTCAAATAATCGAACATTTGATTAAAAATAGCAAAAGATAATAAATTTTTTGGGGAATTTTGAACCGCTTGGAGACTTTATATCTAAGATAACAATAGTAGCTAAATGCTACAATCAAAGAAGCAATGACAACAGATGCAAAAAGTAGGATAGTCACCATTGCCACTTGCTCTTTCTTCTTGAAATCATCCTTTCCTACTTCCATTCTCTCAAAATGACCATGAAATAGAAGTAATTTTTGTGGGTTTTTCGGGTAGTGAAATGGGAACGTCCGCAGAGCAGTGTTTTCTCTCTCTTTGATTCTTTCTCAGGTTCGTGTTCGACTGTTTGTGTATGTCTCGTTTTGTGGCGCGTATTGGGTAAAAACATTGATGGTCACTATACTTTGGGCATAGTTTCATAATGGTCACCTTACTTTTTAAAATATTCAAATTTCGTCAGTAAATTAATATGTTACTCATTATTTCACAGAGTTGTAAATGTGGTATATTATCCTCTTTTATATTATTCTTCCATTTTTTTTCTAAACCACTTGTATAATTTTTTGTCACGTCTTTAGCCTCTACCATTTTGACATATTTAGCAATGTAATCCACATTGCCACCTACTTTGATTGTCCTGCTCTGCAGTAATAAATATGGAAAATACGTTATCTCATTTTGCTTCTCTCATAATGATTTCTTTCGATCTCTTAATACTCTGATCAATTAATGCATTAAACTAGTGTGGCATTTGGTTAAATTCAATATTGAAGCAATACTTTGAATGCCCTATAAAACAAAGAGAACAACTCCAAATTCTATCTTCTTTTAATGAGATTGAATAGCATTGGAATGGTGTTATTAGGGATGGTTTACAATTGAAAAATGCTATTATTCATATGTAGGGAGTAATTTTGAACTGCCTGACATTCGGGTCTAGAATTAGTTCAAAAAAATTGGTCTCCTACATCACGCCAACCCTATTTTTATAATAGGTTAGAATTCATCGAATTAAAGAAAATTCACACAAGGAAATAGTATAGACAAAAATGCAATTCTATAGAAAAAATTTACACGGGGGCTTAAAAAATTAACTTGAGAAAATGCCATGTCAGATTTTCGTTAAGCCACCTAAATAATTATGTTAAATAATAAATGACAAATAAACTACGTGATTTAACTTAATAGTATTATAGAAAATATACTGACTATTTTGAAACAAAATGAGATTCATTAACCAATATGAAAACCCTGTCAAAGTACAGTGACCAGTTGTTTTTACCCATTTTATATTTGCATTCTTGTAACTGCATTTCAATTCTTTTACATGTTAGTACCTAAATATTTAGGTTCGAATTTGTATCTAATATTAATTTTCAGTTTTGTGTGTAAATTATAGAGGTGTCAAGACCGGCGGACTGACTCTAAACTGCAGAGCTATTTACTACTTTTAAAAAAATAAAAATAAAAAACAAAAAATCATTGAGATAGAACCGTTTGACTCTCCCTCCAATACTCAAGGTCTCAATTCTTCTTTGGAGTTTCAAGGCAAAATTTATTTTTGCCTTGTAACTCCAAAGAAGAATTTCTTGAAAATTGTATTTTATAATAATTATCTATAAGAAGTCAAATATCCATTGTATTTTGCCTTGAAACTTTTCAAACAAATTTCTTTGAAAGTTGAAACTCTTCAAATGAAATTTTGATATTTGTTGAATATTCGATATTCATTAAATAATTGTATGTGCAATATATAGACACAAAAATTTTGTTCATTTTAACTCGGGCTGGACTGTCCCGATTTTTAGACGGGTCATTGGCAATTTGGGCTCGCTAAATTTATAATCCTGGACTGTTAATCTTGACGTGATCTCAATCTGGCTACGAGTCATGTCTACTAATAATAACATAAATATTACAAAAATAAAATATTTCTTGATCTCTCAACTCAGGACTCGTTTGTTTCCCATTATTTTAACCGAAGAACGAATTTTTTGAGCCCATTTTTTAAAATATATGAGTCCCACTGGAAGACAAACTGGTCAACAAAAGTGGCTGCTTCACATTGCAACAGTGCAAATTTTCATTAAAATTGAAAACAAAAGCTCAATCCTCAACATGGTTCTTATTCTCCTACTATTAAGTAACAATAGTTCCACTTCTTTTAAATCTTGTTGAAGTTGAATCTATTCTAGGCAGTGTTTGGGAATTTCCTCATCGATTCACAATATTTCATTCTTCATGAACTGAAAAAAATACACTTCAGTGAAGTGCTAAAAGGTATATGATACCATACCATTTTGTCACTTTTCTAGTCAAAGTGAGATGCTGTTCAATTTTGTGCCCGATTTTATTTAGAATGATCATTTAATCCCTATTTTGTTTAGCTAAAAAGGCTAATAAAAATTTAAATCAAAGTCAACAATTAATTTTAATCACATTTCATAACTTTTATCAAAATTTACTAAAAAATTGATTTTCAACAAAACCAAACAAGTGCTTGATGTAAGATCAAGAATGTGAAAAATCGAAGTCTACAAAGTGGTAATTATTTTGTTCAATTAATTGGCAGAGTAATCTATGGGAATCCTTGCATTATTGTAGGACTGAAGTCGAACTAGGTACAACAAAAGATTCAGTTAACAATTGAATCCAAGCTTAGAACACTATTGCACCTGTAATCTGTTGTAGCGGTCGGCAGCCATCGATAATGATTGTATGGAAATAGGGAAGGATCGACCCATCTGCACGTAAAAAACAAGTTACTGAATTAGAAAGGAGTGGTGACTTTAAGCAAAGAGTTCGAAAACTTCAAAATAAGCTGCAATTTTATAGACTACAAAGGCAATAAAGAGCCCTACATGTGAAGAACGACTAATACATAATGAGGGCAACAAAAAAGTGAATTAATGTCTACATTTAACCTCTGTTTCAAACAATCTTCAGCCAGTTTCTTACAGAGCAAATATAACGTAGTAAGCAAAAGAACAAAAAAGCCTCCTTTCAGAAGCAACCTGGGGAAACATTCTTCGACTGTATATGTGTAAAACATTAGATATGAACTTTTTTCAACCCATTTTCAGAAACATTTCAAGAAACGCCTTTGATGGTTTCCATTAGAGGAATAAAAAGTTAAGAAACCTTATAAAAGGAGGTAATGAATATACTTACTATCGGTTTTTAGTGCGTGGCTTCCGTGTCATGTAATACTAAAGGAAAAAGACTTTAAAAAAACATTGCAATGTTTAATTGTATTGTTATAACCAATAAATACAAGATTTATGAGCTCACCGTACTGCAAATATGGAAAGAGTCGACATATCCAGCATATTTGGAACCTGCAAATAAGGCAAGTAAAAAATGGTCTAAGAACCAGAAAAAACCAAGACATCAATTGGCGACAACATATCATACATTTGATTTTTGTTCTCTTAATGTAAATAATGAAATGATGATATATCAGATTTTTCTATCTTCAACAGAGTTTGATAAGTCCTAGTTCTAACTCAAGTTAATCTCTCTCTCTCTATAACCAATATATTTTCTTCACCTCAAAACTCTGTTCTTGTAAGAATATCTTTAAGAGACTTTCTACATACACGATGCTCTCTAGAAAGTAGACATTCCATCAAATATTCTACTTTTTCCTGGATACTGAGGTTCAAATACCGATGGATTCGTTGTTTGCTCATTGGCCTCGTATAATTCATAAAACACTGGTCAATGTTTAAAGATAAGTTCCAAGCTATGATGCTCGAACTTGAATACCGGTATCGGGTACGGGTACCCATATCTAATTGTCGAATTTTTTATTTTCTAAAATGTAGATTACGGAGACATGGGTAAAAATGATCCAAATTTCTAACACGAGTATGTGTATGCGTTTCACACTTCAATTTTGAATTTCCCATAAATTCACATGTAAAATGTAAAATAATAATTGAGAGACAAATTATTAAAAGATAGAATATATCACTTAAAATCAATTAGAAATTTATACTAAAAGTCTAAAACACCAAAAAAGCATAAATTTTCATGACAAAAACACAAAATTAAAATAAAAGTTAGAAATAACATAATTAATTACAATTGTCATACCCGCTTGAAAATTGAAGGATCCACCACATATATATAATACTCATACACATGTCGTGTCGACACGGGTATGCCAATCGAAATGCCAAGTCCGAGCATTACAGGTTCCAAAAGACTCTATTTTAAAATGGAGAGTGAATTTGACTCTTCAAGTTTAGAGAATTAAACTCGTTCTCTATTCTTAATTTAAAATAATTGCTTTTAATAATCTACAAATTTTAATACTCTACTATTTAAATTATTCAAATCATATTTGAATTGATTGACCATTGAGGAAAAATCAATAAATGTTCATTGAAAAAACATAATGAAGAGTCAAAATAGAGAGCATTGTTGCATCTCTAAATAAAAAAATGCTCCCTGTTATGCATGAAATGTTCTTTATAAAGATATAGTCTCTTGGAAATGCTCTAACTCGCTTGTAATTCACACCAGAAGTTCCACCATTGTGTTTCGAGGACTCGAACCTCTTTGGTATTTCATTTCCGTCTTTTATTAACCACATAACTTTTATTGACCTATGTTGTGCAGTTAGATTCTTCAAGGATTCTCTTACAATCCTTGCACGAGCTATGCAATCAATAAAATCTTATTTATTGAACTTTTGGGACTTGTTTATTGAAATGTGTATTCCTTAACACCAAATAAAAGTCCAAAATAGCGTTAATTTCTTCATTTAATCCTTAAAAGCCAAAATTTCTTTATATTTCTATTAGAAGAAAATGCAATTTTATTAACTATATAAACAAATCGACTAACGTTAAGAGAATTATAAAATATTCTAATCATCAAATAAAATAAAGTCAACTTAATATATTTTTCCAACTACGGATGATTATCAATAAAGGAATGCCCTTGAGCTCATTATCAATAGTAATCCATGAGGATGATAAGAACTTAGATCCATTACCATATAAACTCAGTATGTTCTTGCTCTTTATATATCATATCGTTTCTTCATATCATTATCACCCGAAAATAGTTGAAACCATCAATTCCACATGATCCTGCTTTTACTCTCACTAAAGTCATTTAGTCCAAATTATCGATCTCCACATGAAAAAGCCCTCTTTTTGAATGACCCATGCTTTCTGAATCATTTGTACACATCATGCACACCATGGAGGGG